ATTACATTTGCTTTAAATTTAATTTATTATTTGCTAAATGCATACGTTAATATGGACGTTGTTTATTTTGAATTGAAACTAACTGCAGAAAATGGATTGATTGTATTTTGACACACATAAAGGTTTAAAATAACAAAACGTTATTTAACTCGTGGCATTAGGTTACTATTGCTCTTTTGATATCTGACAGTGTGCAGTTTGTATAAATTTAGCTATATTCTATGTAATATGAGTAAAAGGTAGATTGTGTCCGTTTGTGAGCGAAGGTTTGCGACGGCGACGATGATGAAGGCAGCACACAGGCGTTAGCATCACAGCTTCAATGCGAGAAATAGACGCAATATATACAGAGTCCGTGTTTAGACGTTAGCTATATAGGACTGTGCTATCGTGGATTATATGTATCCCTTTATTTGTAGATAAACTAGCGCGCGGGCGTGTGTACAAACGGTTCAGGCCGGATTTTCATCTCGTCCACGAACGAGATTCGGATAATCTTATGTACATTTGAAAATATATACACGGTGAGAGAGATACCGTACTACCGTTTATCTTTTTCTGTTTTTTTTTTCAAGGAACGCTAAAGAGCTCTTAATTGAACGATCGACTTGGCAAGATTAATTCTCGCCGGTCGATATAAGAGACGTTGCGTGGGAAGGGGAGGAGACGTCGCTTGAATCGAAGGTTCGCACGGTGAAACCGCGCGGCAACATACCTCCCAGGGATGCCGATAAATACGATCCCCGGTGTGAGCGCGCGCACTGTTCCGAGCGAAAGATTTATTTTCACCGCACATTCTGAAATGATGACCTTTTACGCTGGATTTCGCCCCACGCGCGTTACGTAGGAAAGATACAAATCACTTCTGGACGTTTGGCGGTTACGGACGGGGTGCATCCTACCGTATATACACTCGAAACCCATCGCTCGCTCTCTTCAAGAGTAAATTCCGTCGACACATACAGCCTTGGCCAAAAATATTAGGCACTTTATTGATCATTAAAATTTTTAAGTTTCATTTAAAAAATCGATCTACGACATACTGAGAAAAAATGTTTGGTATATAATTACTATAATTACTTGTTACTGTAGTTATGATTATTACTACATTATTGCTATGATAGTATAAATATAAAATGATTGCAGTTGCTATAATTTAATTCTAATTTATAGTTATTTTTTTGGCCCACTATTATATAGTTGTCTCAATTTGTAGTTAAATTATAGTAACTGCAACTATTTTTATGGTATAATAACTGTATAATCATTTTCGGTTGTCATTTAATTGTATATATTTATTGGCAGAACTATATATGTATATAGTTATTATTACTAATATTGTAGCAGTAATAATCATTATTATAGTGAAATGTAATATAATTACAAATACTTCCTTCTCATAAATTGTTCTCTTAATGCATCTGTAAATTATTTATAAATTATCTTATATTTTAAAAACTCTTCAGACTTATATAAACTGTCATTATATATAACCATCAATAGGTAACAATACCGATAAAAGAATTTTAAATAAATGAAAAAATATTGGTGCTTGATATTTTTGGTTAAGATTGTATTTCGAATGGCTGATGGCTCTCCGAAATTCATTTCGAACAACGCTCCGCTCTATCCGCCCAAATCGGGTATAGTCGTGTTTAAATGTGTAATTAAATCGTAATTACGTGAATATTTTCGCTTTGTTAATCTCATTTTTAACCTCAATTTTTTCACATACATTATTTTTATATCTCACAATCAGTATCATAAAAATATTATTAATCTTTACGAAAAAGTCACTTCTTCAGTGGTGCTGAAACAGTATTATATTTTAAGGCAAAGAAATATGATAAAATAATTAATTTTAACAAATCTTATTTAAGGAAAAACTGTAATATTTTAAAAATAAATTTCCATACTTTAAAGGTTAAAAATACTTTTTGTATTCACTCGCAAAGTCTCTTAGTTATACTTCTTAGCTTCTGAGATATTGTCAAAATATTTCTATTTTAATTGAAAATAGCGGTTCGCGAGTAGATATTTATATAAATAGTTACTAAAAGTAAGAGCAATTGATTTATTGTTTAAACGTAGTAGTAATATTTGAATTATGAATGACAGCTTTATACAATGCCTTGTTGTCGATGGAAAGTTATACTGGACAGTGCATAATGCATAATGTATTATATTATATACACACACTATTCTGCATGAGACGCAGATATTTGCACAGTGACGGTTTACAAGCGAGTTGCACATTGTTTGTTCTTGTAATTCTACTATTTACCGGGTTATATGATATACTTATGACCGACCACGTTTGAAATTATAACTCTCTAAATGTATAGAATTAACGCGAGCGTTATTACTGCGACAGTAGGTATTATCGTTAAAGTGCAGTGCATTATTTCTGTGGCCAAGTGAATAACATTTACAATAAATAATAATTTTAAGATGTCTCAAACGAGGGAAGAAAATTTATTAGTAATAATAAAAGTTCAGAATCAACTATTTTTTGTACGAAAGAAAGTTAAATTCCTTTCTAGATTTTTTTTTTCAAGTTATAATATTAATTGAAAAGCTTCCTGTGCAGTAGTGGGCTAATAACGTAGTCAAATATGTGATATAGAAATGGATGAGTAACAAAGTTCTCTATTTGTCTCGAAGATTGAACAATTAAACCTATACTGTTATTGGTGTTATGTTTGTGTAGTGATTCGTATTTTTTCTATTATTTATAAAGAAACTTCGCGAAGTATCAAATTCTAATTTCAACGAAATTTGGTATACTCATATCTTATCTTATATAAATAGATGAAATATAATGTTTCATAAAAATCTGCCACTTCGCGAGTTTTCTTTGTTAATAATGTAACCATCTGATGCAGAGAAAGATTTTATTCTTCTCATCATCATATTTCTTACTTAATGCGCATCATTTAATAAACTTTACGAATATTTGTTAAAATATGAAAGAGTTTTTGCAATGTGCAAACAAATGTATTTTTCTCGTTAATTTAACTTTAGAGTTGATTTTCTCCGTTTTTACAAAATGTAAATTAATCCACTGTTGCAGCAAGTCGTTTAATAACGTAGCTATTATAACAGTTACATAATTATGAGACATCCAGTACATTAACACTCTCATATACGTACACATATGTGTACGGGAGATCGAAAATGCAGATCTATACGTAAGGCGAATACATGACCATGCTTTATGTACGATTTATGTATGTTTGCGTAGCGTCAATCATCGCCGGCTTCTTTCTCTCTCGGTTTTTTCAGATTCATTGTCGTTTTTCCAATCCGCCTCGTCTACCGGAGTGCCAAAAGTTCAAAAGCGAGGTTGCGAAATGAAACGCGAGCTTAATTTCGCTCGCCTCGTCCGCTATATTCACGTGCGTTTCACGAAAATGGCTCGCTGTTGAGTATCGCGACACCAATTTGCCGTCAGGAAGCCTTAGAGCGAGAGATTTGAGACTTTTACGCTTTACGATCCTCCGTAATCCACATACGCCTGTTATCGGTAAAAGTACGAGAATCGCTGCGCGCTCGGATAATCGTTGAATTTATAGGAACGTCGCGCCACGTGCAGCTGCTGGAACGATTTTCGTTTGCCGAGTCTCGCGACCGGTATACAGATGTTGAATATCAAAGGATGGATAAACGTGTATAAAAATAAAATAGTTAACAAAATAATTCATCGAATGAATTGAACTCTGCTTCTATATAACAATTGATATACCAAATCTATTTCGATCTCAGAGTATTCTGATTATCAGACATTCCATACGTAATCTATAATTCGCGAGTATCATATCCGAGTAGAGTACAGTCCACTTAACGTGCTTCGAAGCATTTAATTGGCCAATCAGAAGAAAGAATTTTATTAATTGACTAATCAAAGGAATGTTTCAAAGCATTTAAAGCATTACACCGTTACATATCAAAGGAACAATGGTAACTGAATCCTTTGTTAAATAACATTCTGTTATTTTTAACTTGCGTGTGTATCAAAATGTAAATCAATTGTTGTAAAGTTGTTTTACACTATTGTTTTAGTGAAATTAACGATATATCGAGTAGGAACAGTAGCGACCTGTAGAAATAATGAAAAATAATTCAAATTGAATATAATTGGGAATAATTCGCTATTATGAATTTAACAGAGTGCAACACTGTTAAATAGAATATTAAAGAAGCAATGGTAACTCATTCCCTTGAATTAAATAACATTTTGTTATTTTTAACTTCAATGTATTAAAAGATTATTTTTAACTTCGATGTATGCAAATCGATCTATTTCTGTGATTGACTTCTTTATTTTAAAATGATAACGTCCATATTAACGGATATTCTTAATAAATAATTAATTAAACTTTTGAATCAGATTTAATACATTTTTTAAGTTAAATTGTTTAATTGCATTTGTTTTAGTTTATTAACGACGTATTGAATAAGTGCAGTGGCGACCTGTAGAGATGATAAAAAATGATTCAAATTTTATATAATTTTTGATATTATGAGTTTAACAGTATAAATAGGCCATCGCTTTATTCCTGTATCGTTTATTAGCAAGTTTAAAATTTTGTAATGTGCGTTAACACCGTCTCTGAATCTCTACTTCTCTACTTCCCATCCCTTAATCTTGGAATGCACGCACTTTTGTTTCACGACCTCTTATCTAAGGATCTAATTAAACTTTTAAGGCCACCTAATGCTCGAAAATCCTTCCTGCATTAAAAGTATCACTGACTGATCCCGCTCGATTTATCCAGCTAATATTGTTGAAATCCTTAGAAATTCCAACCAACGGAATTCGTTGATAATCGACACATAGATAATTACATTCAGTTATATTCGAAACATATTGTGGTTATATTCGAAATATATTACGAAATAATTGAGATGTAACTTTGTCGTGAGAGGCCAGATCATTAAATCCTATCTCGAAAGTGGCTTTAACTAAAAATACATTGTATTAATAATTTATATTTCAGGGGACACCGCACCTGTACGCTACTTGTCTCTGAAAAGCCTTCTACCGGACACCACCGGTTATATGACTTACGAGGGCAGTACAACGCATCCTGGTTGTTGGGAAACGGCGGTCTGGCTGATCCTCAACAAACCAATCTACATCACGGCGCGAGAGGTAAACATCGATCTCTCCAGTCAGTCAATTGTCCCGTTGGGCTCCTCCCAGCATATATATATATTTTTTTTCTTTCTAAATTCCAATTCTGATTCATGAAAGTTCGCGTGTCTCGCTATAATAATTGAATCATCGAAGATAACAGCCGACGCAGTAGGGCGGCACCGAGATAGTTTTGTCAATACCGTTGGATCAATCAACAGATCCTGTTCCTTCTATACAGCGCATTGTTTCTGTTATTAGCTATACGCCCTGAGGAAATTAATGCAGGGCCCCTCCAGTACGCCGAAAGCGCCTCTCGGTAACAATTCTAGACCGCTGCAGGGTCTTCATTATAGAACCGTGCGAACAAATATCGATTTTGCCAAGGTAATATTACGCTGCGATTATATCACTCGATTTCGTGCGAAGAATGTTGTGTCACTCAGGGTAATTGCATGTTAGACATATATTAGGATAAATTTAATATCATAATATTAGTAAACCAAAATGGTACACTTTTCAACATGGTATACAATTCCGAACGATTTGAAATTAATGTTTCGGATTCAAGTTTGATAATCCTGATCTTATTATGTAAAGGATATGTTTAAGGATACCAAATAGGAAAACATTTTTATTAATAAGGAGGAGGTATCACCTTACTCTGTACTTATTAATATATTTTTAAAATGTATTTTTTTAAGAATTATTTTATTAATGTGACTAGATATTATCGGATTTAAAGCGGGACAACTTTATTAAATGAAGGAAAGGGAGAATTGTATAAATATAAAGATAAATACACAGTATCGATATTAAGTGAAAATCAACCGTTGAAATTAAACACAAATTCGCCATGGAAAACGCCACATTCGATCAAGGAGAATCATTTCACTGTATGCAATATTTTTTTTATGAATTTATACATATCTAGTTTAAACAAACTGTACATACACTGATTATATATTATATATTTGTCAGTCTTGAAACACGATCCTAGATCGAAGCTGAAATAGTAATATCACAAACTAATTGTCAACCAATTTAATATTATTGATGTTAATAAAGCTCTTTAAAACTCAGTAAATAATTTATTATGAAAATTATTATCTCAACTGGGATTCGAATCTAGATTCTAAAGACGATCTTCCTATATATTCTGATTATTGTGATTAATATCTTCATTGGTGGTCGAATTGATAAGATGCTCGCACGGAATTTGAAAGATTTAGGTTCAAATCTCGCGGCTGAAGTAATATTTTTTGCAATAAATTATTTACAGAGTTTAAAGACGTTTATTTAATTAATACATATGGAAAGAACGATTTATCTAAAGAAAGTATCTAATTTTGTTAAAGTATATCTAAATATTTAACTACACAAATCTGAAAATTTTATCTGGATCATTAAAATAATTATGTAGAATGCTCAAATTGGTTGTAAAAATGTTTAAATTTTTTGCTGCATTGTCAATACTAAAGCATTTCATATAAATTTTTAATGATCCAATGAAATTGTTTTCAGATCTGCATCTAGCTAAATTTTTAGACATTTCAGAAAAATTTTTTTTTCGTACATAATATTAAATTGCGATAATACATATTTTCTATAATTATACATACTTTATTTTTTATGATTTTAATACATATTTCTATGATTTTACAATTTGGAAATCTTATAAAATATTTTTCAGCTGGAATTTTTTGGTTACTTTTTACTAAAATCGACACGATTGATCTATCCCGCCGGAACTATCCCGCTGAAATTGAAATGTCTAGTCAGATTATCTATAGCATTAAATAAATGGATATGGTTTGTAACGTTTGATTCGATTTTCCGTACTATTTATAACGTTTATTAGAAATTTATCTATCGGCAGAAGATATCTTTACTAAAAATACCTTGAGTGATCATAAAAGAATCAATCTCGCCAGTATTTTTCACGGAACTGGAACTTAAATGCACTTTCTGTGTTATTCTGGCAGCGGGGAAACGCCAAGTGCCCGTCGATGGCGCAGGACATGCATTATAGAGGTAACACACGATGTTAGCCAGGCTCCAGGAGCCCCTAAACTTCGTGCTTCACCGCGAAGGGATCGTCTCGATGAGAATTTGAAAAGATGACTTTTTCCTTCCAGCCAACACGTGGCGGGACGACGGATCCCTATCACACAACGTAGTCTGAGGCCATCCCGCGGCAGGACCACGAGAGAGGACTTTTCTTTAAAGGAATGGAACAAAATAAGTTCACATATGGTGCGATAAAAAGAAGACGAAGGAGGGATGCTGATGGAAAAAGCTATAATTTCTAACGGAAGAATGAAGAAATTGTGTCGTGGCTGTGTGAAAAAAAGATAGAACGTAAATTTTTGAATAAGTAAGTCGACGCGAAATGAGAATACCGTAACAAAATGGACAACCAGTTATAATGTAATCTACTATGTTATGCAGAAGTTATATGTATAATTATCTGCAAATTATATAATTACATATAATTTGTAGATAAGTTTGCCACACACCAATCGAATTTTGTTTTATTCTCCGGAGTAGCGAGGACAAAGTTGCGTGTTGCTACAGCACTAACGTAATTCTCGTAACACGAGTGATCAAAGGAGCTTTAAGTGTCTTGTTGGGATACAGATTTTCGTTTAATGCTGTTTCTAAGTTTAAGCATTGAAGACTCTATAACAAGTTATCAAGGATGGGCGCTACTTAAAACAATACGTGTTATTATAAAATAAATTATTATGTGTATATATACATATAAATACAAACAAATGTATGTATGTATATATACACATGTATACATATACATATAATTTTGTAAAATGGACAATAGCACTTTCAGATGATGGATGATTCCTATTATAGAGAGAAGATAGGCATTGTCTTTTAAGGTAAGAAAACTTTTGTAAATGCCCATCATTGATAAAATCATATATGATCAATCTGTTTTCACACGGAAGATCGCGAGAATAAATTGTGCGCTTGAATGGATTAATCCCGCTATAATGAGCCTGTAAATCAGTCGAGTTATTTGACAGGTTTTTGTCAATTACTTCGTAGCCAATGGCAATACGATGTGAACGATGTAAAGCGAGAACCATTATACGAAACAGGGGGGAGGGGAGGGGTGGAACGGTGAGAAAATGGGATGGGGGAAATGAAGCGGAAGCGCGGGAAGAAGCGGGACGATCGTGATGGATCTCGGTGGAAGATACAGAAGAAGAAATAGCCGGTATCTCGTTGGAGGAAGAGGAGGAGGAGGAGGAGAAGAGGCGGAGAGCAATTTCGTAATAGCTCCGGGATAGAGAGGAGTAGGATAATAAAGAAGGAATGGTTCGGAAGAGGAAGAGATTAGGATGAAGTCATGTGGTAGATCAATCGCGCGGAAGAGAACGCTGGCTCTCCGTTAGCTTAGCCGATGGACGAATAATCCGGCGCTTTTGTATATAAAAAAAAAACACAGAAAATGTACACGAACAAACATTACCTAAAATAGACGTTAAGCAGCGGAAGGCGAAAAACTCTTAGGGAAGAAAAAAAGCGTGTGTATAGAGAATAAAATTGTATCATATGAAAAAAATGAACGTTTAACAATTGTGGTTAATAAGCAAAACGGTAATAATAAAGGCGACGTTATATTGTACAGCAACAGCGATCGCTGTGTCTTTCTCTCCTCTCTTTCTATTCTTCTCTTTTCTCTCAGATTTTTACATCAATTTTAATCATTTTTTTAATTTTTCATGCAGGTTCCTACATACATCCTCTTCTCCCATTTGACACAAACTAAAAGTAGCATAACATCAATGTTATAATTTTGCATTCAACAATATACAGATGACACACAAAATGTTATACATTTAATTATCTCATTAAAACTATGCTTGTGGAGTATCGATATTTTTTGACTGAGTGAGCAAATTCTGTCTACTTCGAAATTCTGTGAGGTACATCACGAGTTGGGTGGAGGCGAAGGCGAAGGCGAAGGCGCACACATCAATTTGTGAAATGCAGGGCACACGAAATGTCATACTATATATTTGTTTTACATATAATACGTTTATTTCTAACAAAATTAATACAAAAAATTGATATAAGATTAATTATCAAATTCTGAAGATTGTCTCTAATGATTAACATTCAATATGCCGTTTGTTTTATAAAAGACTTGAACTCTTTTTCAATACAAATCGTCAGATAACGCACAGCATAATTTCACCAAGTGAACGAAAACATCCTCGAGTTTCTGCCACGCTCTTTGTTTCTGCGAAAAACAATACACCTTTCACTTCATAATCAACATTTGAAGTTAACCGGCCGTTGTCCGCTATTTCAGAAACCGTGTATACAACATATTCAATTTATAATGTCAAATTATACCCAATTTGAGTTATTTTTAATTATTTCTATAGGCCGTCGCTGCTCTCTATTCAATATGTCGTTAATTTAACTAAAACAATGGAGTTAAACAATTTGACTCGAGAAAATAAAGAATTTAGTTTATTATTTATTAAATATATACGTTTAATGTGGACGTTGTTCACTTTGAAACTAACTATAGAAATGAATTAATACATACATGGAAATAGAAAAATAACAAAATTTAACTCGAGAGATTGAGTTATCATTGCTCCCTTGATATCTAAAAGCGTGCATTTTTTTCTTCTTCCCAATTTTTTCCCAATTCCAACTTGTGATATCACATCTGATAGAATTTTCACGAAGTATGGTACAGACAAATTTGCTAATAGAATATATACTTCACAAATGTAACTTTAACGAAACAATTAAATAAAATGGTAAGACATTTCATCAATTAATAATATATTACCTTTAGTTAATGTTGGATTGCGAATGTACCACTCTCTACGTTTGATTAGATATATCCAGTGCTAATCTCATTGAATAATTTATGGTATCGTGTATCAATGTTACGACGTTAACGCGGAGAAGTATCGGAAGCGTAAATTAATAAATTCCAATAACCCGCTAATCTCCGAACTAGAGTCGCTTAGGAGAAAGTTCGATTTGGCACGCTCCTCAAAGTTAGGCATTACAAATTTCTTCGTTGACGTGCATCAAGAGTAAGGTAAAGTTCCAATGACGCTTGAGAAAGTTTCGGCGCTCTCAAGCATCGGGACACGCCCGATCCAAAAATTCGAACACACTGACAAATTATCCAAGACAAAACTAGGTTGAACACTGGCCTGAAGTTCATGCTTCGGCCTGTGAGACCACGTTTCATCCTTAATTAATTATCTACGGCAGTAATGGCGAGCAACTTTCGCGCGGGACGCTTCTCTCATCCTCCTGAGACGAAGGTAAGTGGATCCTATTTTATCAATTTGCAAAATAATTTATATGCCAAGAGAAACTGATTGCCCGTCAAGGTGCAATATTCTTCACCGTTAACGTAACGCTTCGCGTCTGTATATCGTCGCGTTATTGCAATTTAATTACGATCGTAGGCAAGAAGGATTTGGTGCACGCGGCCACGTACAGTGCAACGACTTAATGAAGTCACTTAGCATGTAATTTGAGTCACTGCGCGACCAATAATTCACTACGTGATCTTTGAAAGCGAGTATAAATAATTACGTTAAATTGTTACCTATGTGCGGAAATTCATTTTTTTTCGGTAATTCGTAACGAATGACTTTCGTGTAACATGTATTTTATTTAAAAAATCTCACTCTCTCTCTCTCTTTCTATATTTATGATTTCATATATACATATATACACACACACACACTCACACACATGTATACATAATATAATTATTGGGCGTTGTATCTATGGCATCTTAATTACATCATATATGTGAAACCAAACTCAGTTTACCGGGACTTAATTTCTACATAATTAGTACGAAATCTACTAATTAATTTGGAAAATTGACTCAAATAATGGATAATTCTTGAGCTATATGGTAGATATAAAGTTGTCAAAAGTGTAAAATTTGTACTCACACAGAACACCTTTGATAACTTGAAAAAAATTATCCATTATTATTTGAACTATATGTGTGTATAACATTTTTTGTTCATCACATTATAAATTACAACATATGTGACGACCATCTCATTTCACCTAATTTTCTGTGTAATTAGTGCGGAGTCCTTTGAAATGAAATTATATGGAAAATCGTGCACACCGAATAATAAGTATGTGGCGGAGCATATACTCGCTATATTCAAAGTTTCTTGATTTATATTCGGATTAGCGTATACTTTGAGAATTTCGCGCTTAAATTACCGTACGGTCACTATCTCGTTCGTGAGGCATCAATTCGCTTCAGCTGCGCGAGCAATTTTTCGGTCAAACATTTTTGCAGCGTTGAGCGTACTCGCGTGTGTCAGCCTAAACGAATGCAACGAATTTAAGGGACGGCGGATTTGCCGAGAATGTGCTGAGTAGCTGGCTCGTCGCGTGCAGCAGGAAGTTAAGAGGATGCCGAAAGATATGCATACCGAGCTTAAAGCTCCTTTGTAGAAAAGAAAGAAGGATGAATAAGAAAGGCGAGGGGGGAATGGCGGCCACGTGACATTCCCGATTGAGGAGTAGGCGAATGAGGAGCTTGGGGCGGACGCGTAATCCTTGCACTCTCTTTTATGGAAATTAAGGACGTGATTTTAAATTCCCACGAGTACAAGTTTCGTCTTCCTTCGCCTCCTTATACCGTCTTGCTCGTTGTCATGTTCTCTCTGTGACCGCTACTTCGTGACTGAGCGCGGTACCCTCTATTTTTAGATTTCATGCAACGCACACATACGTATAATATCGCATGAACACGATATCGCGGTGAATTTTACAAAATCAGTATGGACGTTTATGGATCGTATATTCAATATACCGACTATCATGTAACTGTACTTTTTCATTTTGTTCCTCGAATTTTTTCAAGTCCATTTTCTTTGACAAAAATTCTATTGAATCCCTTATCCCTTTTTCTTTTTCTTTTTTGTTCCGTTATTTTTATTCTGAACGGTACACGAATGATTTTGTTGAAATATTGAAAAATTTAATTAAACACAGATCTGAAAATAATTCTGTTAGATGTTAAAACATTTATGTAAGATTCACAAGCATAGTTCATTCATAGAAAATATTTCCGGACTAATGCTATTATTCTTCAATTTATCATAAAATAACATTAATATAAAGACAATTATATTTGTTATTGACAAACAAATATTTTATTCTTAAATGGGAAATTCTGCAATCTAGAATAAAATATAATATTTTTGGACATATCGGTTTCGTACCAAATATTATAGCGTCAGCATCATACATTTATAACGTTAATTGGGTAAAGATTTAGTCTCTATTTATGAATATAGTATAAACTTAAAATATCTGTTATATTCTTGTCTGAAGACAATAAATCATTCCTATTTAATTCGAGAGAAGGATAAGAATTATTGATCTAAATTTAATTTTGTTTTATTCTGCATAAGGTTATGATAAAATTAAGTATGTCAGGAATATTTTTGTCTTGTTATAAAAAATTCTTTTTAAGAAAATGTACAACATTGCAAAAATTGTTGACATTCTAGTACCCAGTTTGTTCGTTCTATATAATTATTTTGTTGGTTTAAATAATAAAATAAAATAAATGAAATTAATAAAATAAAATAAAAAATGAAATTAATAAAATCAGATGTGCGCATCTAACTAAATTTTCAAATATTATACTTTAAC